TTTGGACAAGCTAAGAAACAGCATGTACTTCACCACACTCGACTTAGCCTCAGGATTTCACCAAGTAGAAATGCACCCTAACGACATAGAAAAAACAGCCTTCAGCACAGAAAATGGATCTTACGAATTTCTACGTATGCCCTTTGGATTAAAGAATGCCCCAGCTACATTCCAACGAGTCATGGATAATATTCTAAGAGGAATACAGAACGAAAAATGCCTGGTTTACCTTGATGACATCATCATATTTTCAACATCACTTGAAGAACATATCTCACGACTAAAAGAAGTCTTTGAAAGATTAAGAAAAGCAAACTTCAAAATACAATTAGACAAAAGCGAATTCTTACGTGAAGAAATAGCATATTTAGGACACGTTATCACACCCGAAGGAGTAAAACTAAACCCAGACAAAATAAAAGCAGTCATGAACTACCCATTAGCGAAAACCCAGAAGGAAATTAAAGGATTTTTAGGACTACTCGGTTATTACAGAAAATTCATACCAAAGTTTGCACAGCTCACAAAACCTTTGACAAAATGCTTGAAGAAAAATGCCAAGATAACACATGACCAACAATTCATAACAACATTCGAGACCTGTAAGAAAATTTTAATCAACCATCCAATTTTATAATACCCAGATTTTTCAAGACCATTCATCTTAACAATAGACGCATCAAATGTCGCCCTAGGAGCAGTCTTATCACAAGGACAACTAGGAGAAGATAAACCAATTGCTTACGCATCAAGAACACTCAATGAGACTGAACAAATACTCAACTATCGAAAAGGAATTATTAGCGATAGTATGGGCAACAAAATATTTCAGACTCTACCTATACGGAAGAAAATTCACCATCTATACAGATCTTCGCCCACTTCAATGGCTATTTTCACTCAAAGAACCCAATTCAAAATTAGTACGATGGAGATTAAAGCTAGAAGAATACGATTACGACATCGTCTACAAAAAAGGAAAATTTAACACAAATGCTGACGCACTCTCAAGAATACAAATTTACCCTCTGGACATTGACGCACAATCAATTGCAGTTCAACCAGATGAAGAACTAGAACGATTACTAAACGAGCTAATACAAGAAAATGAAAACCAAAACATAGGAGTTCCTAATCCAGAACCAACAATCAGCAATAACGACGCACTTCCCATTCCAAACTTGACAGACTTCTCACCAACAACTCCCGAAGAATTTTCAATACCAACATTTAGAATACCAACACCAAACAATACCCCAAGACATTCACCAACAAGCAGTTCACCAAGAAACTTATCACCAAGTAATTCATCAGACACAATATCAGCAATTTTAGGAACAAACCCATCCGACACATCAAATTCCAGACAAACAGGAAATTACTAACCGAATTATAATCGATCAGAAATTAGTCAATCTGAAAGTACCATCACTAACACAACAAACACACCATCAGTAACCTCACGACGAGAAAACAACGAAACACCAAGAACAATCAACATCTGTGAAGATGCAATCGACCGAAAAGAAAGACAAATTTTTATAACCACAGTTTTTGCAAACCCTTCGTCAAGACCAAAAATTATAAAGGAAAACGGAATGACAATAATCAAAGCTCAAATCGCTCAAGACAACAATAATCAACAAATCAAAGATCTTTTAATAGATTATTGCGAACCAAAAAGACATTATTATTGCTTTTTCGACACCGAAAGAATGTACAGAGATTTTTGCAAAGTATACAACGAAACATTCAACGCCGAAGCACCAATTCTCAAAATCACAGACAAAAACGAACAAAAAGAATTAATAAGAGATCACCATGAAGGAAAGACCAATCATAGAGGAATACGTGAGACATATACCAGATTACAACGCTTATATTACTGGCGAAAATTAACCAGAGACGTAGCCGATTACATCAATAAATGTGAAATATGCAAAAGGATAAAATACGAAAAACATCCCCCCGAGATTCCACTAAAACTAACAGAACAAGTTGACAGACCCTTTCAACAAACAAACATGGATCTATTTACAATCGAAGGAACCACATTCTTAACAGTTATTGACGCATTCACGAAATTAGCCCAAGCATATCAAGTTTCAAGCAAAAACGCTATCGAAATTTGTGACAAACTATTAATCTTTTTCCAACACTATGGAGTACCAGAAAAAATCACATTTGACTCAGGACTAGAATTTCAAAATGACACCGTAAAAAAACTTTTGGAAACCCACAAAATCCAATCTCACTTTACAACACCAAGACATCCGGAATCAAATGGTTTAATTGAAAGACTACATTCAACTTTCACAGAACATTACCGAATTCTGAGACAATACTTCAAAGACCAACCGATTACCACCATGGCTTACGCAATTATCGGATACAACAACTCAATCCATTCAGTCACCAATTATACTCCACTCGAATTATTAATAGGACACGCAACGTCACGAAACCCTTTTGATATTTATCACGACACCCGATATTACCAACAGTACAACATCGATCACAAAAATCGAATGAAATTAATCTACCAGAAAATCACCAAAGATATGCAACAACACAAGGAGCATATAATCGAAAGACGAAACAAACAACCCAATCAAAATACATTCGTACTAGGACAACAAGTTTACGAGAAAAACCCCCAAGCTGACCGAAATAAATCAAAGAATCGATACTTAGGACCATACATCATTACTGCAATCAATAATGATAACACCTGCATGATACGTTCACAAGATCAACAAACCAAGACAGTACATATGGATAATCTAAGACCTCCGGTTCCAAGATAATCATCAAAATCTATGGATCCAACCAACTTCAACCACAGATAACAAAAATTACCGAAAACTCTGGACTACTACCCCAAAATTTTGGTATTGCCAGAAACATAATCGATCATTGGACATTCATAAGAATATTCGACATAGAAAAGCTTATTAGTGAATATGATAATCTCCGTAGACACGCAAAAGAATTAGAAAATAATTTCAATAATACAATTAATCCCACACGTTTACATAACGAAGTACATAGTTATGAATCAGTATTGGACCAATTATTCACGCAAATAGAACAACATATAACTCAGTTATTTCCCGAAACAATATCAAAAAAGCATCGAAGAACGAAAAGAGGCCTAATCAACTTCTTAGGTAGTAATAGCAATCACTGGAAATTTAGATAGCGAAGACGGACAACGCTATGAAACCTTAATATCCCAAATTCAAACCCAGCAAGATAAACAGAAAATTCTGCTTGATGAACAAATCTCCCTAACCACCACAGCAATAGAAAAATTCAACGAAAGCATCGCCAGATTAACGATCAATCAACAAATATTCAAAAAGAAGATCACCGAAATCGAATCAATCATCAATCGAACTATTTCCACGAAAATCGAGATTTACCCACTTCTACATCTGCATACAGTTTTTCTCCAAATGATCACCATATCGCAGGAAATATTAAGAATATTAGAAGAAATCGAAACAGCAATCAGTTTCGCAAAATTGAACACACTGCACAATTCAATAATCGACCCAAAGGACCTGTTAAATGAACTAAAAATAGTAGAGAATAAACTCGACAAAAAAAGCCTCGCCTACGAAGCCAACGAAGCAAACCTTTTAACCTACGAAAGAATAATCCAAATTAAGGCTTATCAAAAAGATCTGCATATTACGTTTATTTTTGAGATACCTCTTACCGAACCTCATAATTACAATTTTTACCAATTATACCCATTTCCCATTCAGCATGACTCCAAAACTTACCAAATAATTATACCATCCCACAAATACCTCTACCTTAACGAGCTTTACTTCAGTTTGAACGACGATAAATGTAATGAAGTCACCCCTGGAGACTATATCTGCAACTTACCACAAACCAGTAAAATTTCCAAAGAAGCACCTTGTGAAATTCAACTACTCAAATTTTCGAAAAATTACCAGCAGTGTAAAATCATCAAAGTCAACCTTAAGAACACAAAAATCAGAAAAATCGACAAGAACCAATGGATTGGAATATTCCCAATTGAGCAACCAGCCACTTCCACATGCGGACAACAAGAAGAACACTTATCAGTAAAAGGAAGTTACGTTATCACCGTCCCAGATGGATGTAAATTAAGAATCAACTCAAGGACCCTTCAGAGCTACCAGAATCCTGAATTCAAGAAACAGTCAATTTAAACACCGAAATTAGAAATCTCATCAAATATACCACTCACGGAAGAAATTTGGAAACAAGAACCGTTACAACTCGAAACAGTCGACTTGGCAGACATCGACCCAATTTACCACAGGATGCACGAAATACAACAGGATCTTCAAAAAGAGGACCACGGATACGTCACATACTCCACTAATATTTGGACAATTTTAATTTGTATATTTTTCATTGTTACAGTAATCTTTTTCATTTGGCACAAGTGTATCAAGCCTCGAATTCATAGATATCGTTCCCGATGGTTGTCAGGTCCACCACCGGAAGACTTTTGAAAATTCGACATCGCAGGCTCCCCCGATTTTCAATCTAACGAGGGAGCATAAGTCCACAATGGACAATCATTCTGCAGACCCATATCCTGCCACGTGCAAGATGCGCTTCCACACTTGCATCAATATCAACATGAGAACTTCAATTCTGCAGTTTTCCTCCTTATAAAAGGCATTGGAATAATTAATTTTTCAGTTCAGAAGCATCCGTCATCCGCGTAACTAAGAAGCCGCCGCCGCGTAGTTTATAAACCCGTCATAATCGCGCTCTCCCAATAAGTTGTAATAATTTAAGTGAATAATTGTGAAGTAGAAATAAGTGAATAATCAAGTAATTGTGAATAATCAATCAATATAAAATAATCCAATAATCAATATTCAAGTGTAATAATGATATTTGTGAATAAAAGAAAAGTTCTTTTTAAAAACAAGTTTATTAAACCAATAAACTTAACTCGTATATATTTTTTGTTGTTGTTGTTGTTTTTTTTTTGTTTTGAAACTTTATTGTCGTGTATGTCGCTCTTGCTCCTTCTTCGAATTTTCCATAAACTCCTTCAGACCTCGAGACATATAGTATGGTCTTGATATACCGTCATTCATGACCGAATCTTCACAGAAGCATATGAAGAGAGAGTCGATGATGGTCTGGAGACATTGGTAATTTATTATAGTCCTACTGTATTACGTTAACTCACTTGGAAAGTCCCAAATATTACGTAAATAATGACAGTATTTATGAAAAAACAGCCAATGGCAGTTTTCGTTCCCACTGGACCAGTATCCTGAAAAAAATTAAAACAAACCAGTGTAAAAAAGACGTGAACTTACCTTAAATAGGGCAAAGGAAATTGCTGTGGCCAGTACAGAGAGAACTATTATAATTACTGCCAAAATAAAATCTCCAACACAGTTTATAGCGACAATGTTGCCAATATTTGTCAAAACTAGTTTGGTAGCTCGTCTAGCCGATCTCAGAAAAGACTGTCCATGAATTGCTGAAACATAAATATTATTATAATACAAAAATCGTTTTTTGCTGTTTTGATAGCTAACCTGTCAGTATATAAGAATTTCCTGACAAGAATTTGAGTAGTACCTCGGCTTGGTTACAGCAAAATTTCTCGCAACACTTGCAGCACGAATTTCTGCAACACAGTTTCAGAAACATCTTCACTACGGCGAACAGCGTCATCAATAAAGATCCAAATGCGATAGTACCGAGGTGGTACTTCAATGTAACTTTAAAACTAGACCAAACTGGAGAATTCACATGATCTTTGTTTCTGCAACACGAGACATTGTAATCGCGACATAGTCTAAAAATTTGTCTTACTTGGAAAAGTACCACCGTGCTACACCTCCAGCAATGGTCATAGACTGAACCCCCGAAACAAATCGCATAGCCCAGGTGGCTACGAATATATTAAAAACGATTGTGAGAATTGCGACTCCAGATAGTTCGTACTTGTACACATTTTCGTCGCGTTTTGTCAGTTCTTTGAAGTTCCAAATGCAGATGGTGGTAACAATGACAGCCATAAACACAATCATTTGGATGAATGCGATCTGAAAATTAGATTTTAGTACCAAAGTAGTTTAAATGCGGTACTTACGAATATCGGGAAAAACACAACTAGGGGCATAGCGGCAAGAACTTTGGTTGTTTCTTTGTATAACTGAATAACCAAACCTATTCTCTTAAATATGACCATAAAAATTATGAGTATCGTGACAGCAAAAATTGTCCAAGCAAGAACCGGTGCCAGAGAGATTGACCGCTCGTCAAACACGTCTTTACCTTGAAAGTACGAAGTCCTAATAAAGAAAAATGTAAAAAAAGTCCACACTCTAGAACAGTCGTACCATAGAAGTCCGGTAGTACCCAATAAAACCAAGATCGAAAAAATCAAAATTCCCCACACAAACGGAGCTGGGGCAAACCTTAGCAGTACTAGTGTGAGTATACCTAGAGCTGTACACCTCAATTAAGACTTTGTTTTACAAAATATTTAGAAAATTCTGACCGGTTGTGATGAATATCGCCGAGACCAACCTCCACCAAACGCTGCCATTTTGAGTCTAGAATCAACTAAAATAAGTACTAATAAAACAACACAAACTTAAAATACCGATGTATCGAAGTCGTCCTCAAATGGATTGTCCTCTTCAAACGTTCTATACATCTGTCCGAATAATTTCTCGGTGTTAAAATAATCGCATTCGCCTTTTGCATCCAATTCTCTAGAAAATAGGCTTAAGGTTTAGAACAGTTGGTGCCGGAACTTACCGTCTCATTGTGAAATCTTTACCCGAGCAAGGAACACCTTGAATTAGTGGGTTTCTGAGTCCACAGAAGTTTCCGCAGTTGTCGGTCTCGTAACTCATGTGTCTAAAATCCACGTTGACCAAGGTGTAGGCTAAGAAAGGTATCTGAAACAACTATTTTTGCACCAAAACTTGGTACCCTAAAGTCTCTTACCAAAATCAATATGGAAATGCCAAAAATGAGGAATCCCGTTTTATCCGTGACACTCCTATTTTCGGGTCGTGCGGGCACTTCCACATTTTCGATGGACGTGTTTAGCTTCCTGAACTCAATGAGCTGAAACATTATCGCTTATTATGATATGAAGGTAAGTTTGTCGGGCGGGTGCTTTGACCACTAGACTACGAAGCCGCTTACTTTCACACATTTTTCCGTCTTTAATTAAAATTTTTATTTGATAAATAAGATAAATAATGAAAGATGATTCTTCTTTTTTTCTTAGTTGATAAGTTAAAAATATCATTTTGTCTGTAGTTTGTTATTTTTTTCCGGATTACCGGAGATAAGTTGCATATGTGCTTGAAACTGTGCGTATTTAGTGTGCGCTGTTTACATGTGTATTCTGTCAATTAGTCTATTTTCGGTTTATGTAGCCCTCTCTCCGAAGAGGTCAGTTCTTATCTCGTCACCTCAGTTATTTGGTTATCGCACTTTATATTAATAGCACCTCTAGTTATTTCCACTTGTTATTTTCACAAATTTACATCACTTCTTATTAATGCAATGATGCTTATCTATTACCTCCTAGTTCTGGGTTGTAGTCTACCGTACAAAAAAACTCACAAAGTACAACGAATTACATAACTAGAAAACACATACTAACCTCTTCTGGTCTCATAATACTGGACGAAGATCCCATGATGCCACCTTCCCCTACAATATAGCCAGAAGATTTATTCCAGAGCAGTCAAAAACACCCACAAACCAGAAACTAACACGATATTTAAACACAAACCAACTAAAAGCAAAAATGATCACTTAAGTACACAAAAAAGGGCGAAAAATGACTAAAGTAATTAAGAGTGCTTACACCCGCGAGTGCGCTCTGCAAGTGATAAAAATTCACAACAAACAATGAAACCAAATTTGCGCCAATTATGTACGCAGCTGAAATATTTTATTATTATTATTATTATTAATAGTCTTTCATCAGAATTGAGATAGGGTGGGTGGGCGGGGCTTATATTTTGCCTTGTTTATCTTAATATACATAGCCATCTTTTCACAACAAGAAACTTAGAACATGGTAAAAATGGTACATATTTGCAACGAAATATTGATTTTGCAATTACGGGACGGAGCCAAATTGCAAAATCGATATTTGTTTATGAAAATTTTCCATTTAAAACGTGTTTTAAGTTTCATGTTGTGAAAAGACGTATACACATACTAAAACAAAAAGGCAACATTTTAACCTCTTTTTCGGAAAGTCTTTGGAAATTGTGAATTCACTTTGCGTGTTTATTGAACCAGATATCGTGGCGGCTATTTCGGAATAGTAACTAGCGGAAGATTATCTACAATTTGGCACCAATTTTCGGTCGATTAAACCAATTTTAATCACTTTTTTGAAAAATTTTTGGAAATTTTCAATTCACTTTGCGTGTTTATTAGACCAGATATCGTGACGGCGATTTCAGAATCGTCACTAGTGGAAGATTATCTACAATTTGACACCAATTTTCGGTCGATTAAACCTATTTTAAGCACTTTTTTGGAAAATTTTTGGAAATTTTGAATTGATTAGTCGCTTTACTGGACGATATATCGTGACAGCGATTTCAGAATCGTAACCAGCGCAAGATTATCTAAAATTTGACACCAATTTTCGGTCGATTAAACCGATTTTAACCACTTTTTTGTAAAATTTTTGGAAATTTTGAATTAACTTTGCGTGTTTATTTAACCAGATATCGTGGCGGCGATTCCAGAATAGTAACTAGCGGAAGATTATCTACAATTTGACACCAATTTTCGGGTGATTAAAACAATTTTAACACTTTTTTGGAAAATTTTTGGAAATTTTGATTTCACTTTGCGTGTTTATTGGTCCAGATATCGCGACCGCTATTTCAGAATCGTAACTAGCGCAATCTTATCTACAATTTGACACCAATTTTCGGTCGATTGAACCAATTTTAACCACTTTTTTGGAAAACTTTCGGAAATTTTGAATTGACTTTGCGTATTTATTGGACCAAATATCGTGACGGCGATTCCAGAATTGTAACTAGCGGACGATTATCTACAATTTGACACCAATTTTCGGTCTATTGAACCAATTTTAACCACTTTTTTGGAAAATTTTTGGAAATTTTGAATTGACTTTGCGTGTTTATTGGACCAGATTTCGTGACGGCGAATTCAGAATTGTAACTAGCGGACGATTATCTACAATTTGACACCAATTTTCGGTCGATTGAACCAACTCTAACCACTTTTTTGGAAAATTTTTGGAAATTTTGAATTCACTTTTCGTCTTGATCGGACCAGATATCGTGGCGGCGCTTTCATAATCGTAACTAGCGGAAGATTATCTACAATTTGACACCAATTTTCGGTAGATTGAACCAATTTTAACCACTTTTTTGGAAAACTTTTGGAAATTTTGAATTCACTTTTCGTCTTTATTGGACCAGATATCGTGGCGGCGATTGCAGAATCGTAACTAGAGGAAGATTATCTACAATTTTACACCAATTTTCGGTCCATTAAACAAATTTTGATCACTTTTTTTGGAAAATTTTTGGAAACTTTGAATTCACTTTTCGTTTTTATTGGACCAGATATCGTGGCGGCAATTTCAAAATCGTAGCTAGCGGAAGATTATCTACAATTTGACACCAATTTTCGGTCGATTAAACCATTTTTAACCACTTTTCTGGAAAATTTTTGGAAATTTTTATTTCACTTTTCGTCTTTATTGATCCAGACATCGTGGCGGCGATTTGAGAATCGTAACTAGCGGAAGATTATCTTCAATTTGACACCAATTTTTAGTCGATTGAACCCATTTTAACCACTTTTTTAGAAAATTTTTGGAAATTTTGATTTCGCTTTTCGTCTTTATTGGACCAGATATCGTGACGGCCATTTCAGAATCGTAACTAGCGGAAAATTATCTACAATTTGGCACCAATTGTCGGTCGATTGAACCAATTTTAACCATTTCCGTGGAAAATTTTTGAATAGTTGCGTGTTTATTGGACCAGATATCGTGACAGCGCTTTCAGAATCGTAACTAGCGGAAGATTATCTACAATTTGACACAAATTTTCGGGTTAATAAAGCAATTTTAATCACTTTTTTGGAAAATTTTTGGAAATTTTGAATTCACTTTCCGTGTTTTTTGGAGCAGATATCGTGGCGGAGATCTCAGACTCGTAACTAGCGGAAGATTATCTATAATTTGACATCAATTTTCAGTCGATTGAACCAATTTCAACCACTTTTTTGGAAAATTTTTGGAAATTTTGACTTCACTTTGCGTGTTTTTTGGGCCAGATCTCGCGGCGCCGATTTCAGGATCGTAACAAGGGGAAGATTATCTACAATTTGACACCAATTTTCGGTCGATTAAACCAATTTTAACCACTTTTTTGGAATATTTTTGGAAGTTTTGAATTCACTTTTCGTCTTTATTGGACCAGACATCGTGGCGACGATTTCAGAATCCTAACTAGCGGAAGATTGTCTACAATTTAATACCAATTTTTAGTCGATTAAGCCAATTTTAAGCACTTTTTTATGGAAATTTTTTGGAAATTTTGAATTGACTTTGTGTGTTTATTGGACAAGATGTCGTGACGGCATTTTCAAAATCGTAGCTAGCGGAAGATTATCTAAAATTTGACACCAATTTTCGGTCGATTAAACCAATTTTAACCACTTTTTTGGAAAATTTTTGGAAAATTTTTGAAAAATTTTCATTCCCTTTTCGTCTTTATTGGACCAGATATCGTGGCGGCGATTTAGGAATCGTAACTAGCGGAAGATTATCTACAATTTGACACCAATTTTCGTTCGATTAAACCAATTTTAACCACTTTTTTGGAAAATTTTTGGAAAATTTGTATTCACTTTGCGTGTTTATTGGACCAGATATCGTGGCGGCGATTTCAGAATCGCAACTAGCGGAAGATTATCTACAATTTGGCATCAATTTTCGGTCGATTAAACCCATTTTATCCACTTTTTTGGAAAATTTTTGGAAATTTTGATTTCGCTTTTCGTGTTCATTAGACCAGATATCGTGACGGCAATTTCAGAATCGTAACTAGCGAAAGATTATCTACAATTTGACTCCAATTTTCGGTCGATTGAACCAATTTTAACCATTTCCGTGGAAAATTTTTGAATAGTTGCGTTTTTATTGGACCAGATATCGTGACGGCGCTCTCAGATTCGTAACTAGCGGAAGATTATCTACAATTGGACACAAATTTTCGGGCGATTAAAGCAATTTTAATCACTTTTTTGGAAAATTTTTGGAAATTTTAAATTCACTTTGGATGTTTATTCGAGCAGATATCGTGACGACGATTTTAGAATCGTTACTAGCGGAAAATTATCCACAATTTGGCACCAATTTTCGGTCGATTAAGCCCATTTTAACCACTTTTTTGGAAAATTTTTGGAAATTTTGAATTCACTTTGCTTGTTTATTGGATGAGATATCGTGGCGGCGATTTCGGAATCGTAACTACCGGAAGATTATCTTCAATTTGACACAAATTTTCGGTCGATTGAACCAATTTTAACCACCTTTTTAGAAAATTTTTGGAAATTTTGATTTCGCTTTTCGTCTTTATTGGACCAGATATCGTGGCGGTGATTTCGGAATCGTAACTAGCGGAAGTTTATCTACAGTTTGACACCAATTTTCTGTCGATTGAACCAATTTTAACAACTTTTTTGGAAAATTTTTGGAAATTTTGATTTCTCTTTTCGTCTTTATTGGACCAGATATCGTGGCGGCGATTTCAAAATCGTAACTAAAGGAAGATTATCTACATTTTGCCTGTTTTTCTTATGCAAAATGGTAAATTTTTGTTGTAATCAACTTAAATCGTCAACTTTTCTTCTACAACTTCTTTATATAGGGCAAAAGTTGGATATCAAAGTCACTATCAATGGCAACTTGGTAACGGAGTTTATAAATGACAATTTTCAGCTCTAAAAGCAAGGTCAGCGAGTTTACTTGTTTATAAAATCTGATGCACTGACTTCACATTTATTTTTTTTACGAACAGCAAGCAAGGAAGCAAGGAACCAAGGAATTAATTCTCAATTATTTTCGAAGTCCCCTTGAAAATTTTGTCTCAGTGCTCTAGAAAAATAACGTCAAGTTCCGCTAGAAAGTCAGTTAAACAACGATATATACCGAAATTTTCAGAATCACCACAGGCTTTGATACAATTGGGAAGGTTCGATCGATTTTATATTGCCATATGTAATTTCTACGTATACCAGTAGAAACACTACGCATGAACTAGACTGTGTTTGGGGAATGCCTACAACTATACACACACGATTTCTAATTTGTGTTAGTTTGTGGGTATTCGTAATTTAAACTTTAATATACGCTCAAGTAAATACAATAAGTTGCAAATTTCGTTTCAGGAAGAGTATCAGTACAGGCAGAAGTAAAACTAGATATGCCCCTGAGACGTTTCTATCGGTTTTCGTTGTAAATTGGGACTTTATTGTTGTGTATGTTGTCGTCCCAGCGTCTTCTTCGTACTTTCCATAAACTCCATCAAACCTCGAGACCTATAGTATGGTCTTGATATACCGTCATTCATGACTGAATCTTCACAGAAGCATATGAAGAGAGCGTCGATGATAGTCTGAAACATTTGCAATTTATTTTTACAGCCACTGTGTTACTTTAACTCACTTGAAATGTCCCAAATATTACGTAAATAATGATGGCATTTATGAAAAAATAAATGGTTGCAATTTCAAATGTAATCCTATACTAATAAAAAAAAAAATTTAACAAGCCAATGCTTAAAAAAGATATGAACTTACGTTAAATAAATTAAAGTAAAATACTGTGGCGAGTGCACAGATCAGCATTATAAATACTCCAAAAACAAAATCTCCAACACAGTTTACAGCCACGATGTTACCGATATTTGTCAAAAGTAATTTGGTAGCTCGTCTGGCGGATCTCAGAAAAGATTGCCCATGGATTGCTAAAACATGAACATTATTATAACATTTATTTTTTTTAATCATACATCTACTGCTCGGCTAACCTGTCAGAGTATAAGAATTTCCAGACAAGAATTTGAGAAGCACTTCCGCATAGTTACAGCACAACTTCGTGCAACACTTGGAGCACGAATTTCTGCAACACAGTTTTAGAAAGATCTTCACTACGGCGAACAGCGTCATTAAGAGAGATCCAAATGCGATAGTACCAAGGTGGTACCTGACTGTAACTTTAAAACTAGACCAAACTGGAGAATTCAACTGATCGTTGTTTCTGTAACACGAGACATAGTAATCGTGACAAGCTTTTAAAATTCGTCTTACTTGGAAAAGTACCACCGTGCTACGCCTCCAGCAACGGTCATATATTGAATTCCCGCAAGAAATCGCATAAACCAAAGGGTTACGATTATATTAAAAACCATTGTGAAAATTGCAACTGCAGATAGTTCGTACGTGTACTTATTTTCGTCACGCTTTGTCGGTGTTGTAGAGTTAGACATGTAGCTGATGTTAACAATGGCAGCTATAAACACAACTACTTGGATGAATGCTATCTGAAAATTAGATTTTAGTAACGAAGTGGTTTTAAATGAAGGACTCACGAATATAGAAAATAACACTACTAAGGGCATAGCAGCAAGAACTTTGGTTGCTTCTTTATATAACTGAATAACCAAACGGATTCTTTTAAATATGACTATAAAAATGATCAGTATTGTGACAGCAAAAATTGTCCAGGCAACAACGGGTACCAAAGGCATTCGAGTCCCTCGGAAGTATAGAACCCTAATAAACAAAATGTAAAAAAGTTCCACACGCTAGAACAATCGTACCATAAAAATGCAGTAGTATCCAGTAAAACTAGCCCCGAAAAAATAAAATTTCCGCACACAAACGGAGCTGGAACAAACCTCAACAGTACCAGTGTGAGCACACCTAGAACTATGTACGCCGTACAATCGCACGCAAATGTTTTGATCATTTTTGCCGGTCGTCACCGAAGGAGGCGGTCCAAATCGTCCAAGGGCAGAATTTGTAGGTAGGCTCAAACTACAACGAAATTTACGTGTTGACCAAATTCCCTGAATTAGTTTTAATTTTATAAATACTTACTCTGAATTAGTTTTAATTTTATAAATACCCTATCTAAAATGTTCAGAATATGATGAGTCTATACTTGTGATTTACCATTCCATTAATATTTTTTGGATTTGTTTATACATACAGGGTGACTCAAAAAAAAAATAATGACTGAGTCAATTTATTTTATTGAAGAAATCAAGAATTGCAAAACTGAATACTTTGAAATCTTGTCAATTAGTTAGAAAAAAAAAACCTGTCCTGCTCTAATAACATCGAGAATATGCTCAAAATCACACTAATATTAGGTCTAATTGTGCCGACCATAGTTATAAAATTCACATTAAAGTAAGTCACGAACATTTTTTGAAGTGTACTACATTTCAAAAAGCAAAAAAAATGTTCAGTTTATAAACTTCATAATTTTGGTTTAAACTTTATCAATCATATTTGACGCTTTATTTTATCCATTCCATTTGTTATCCTTTACTGCGGTCTCTCTTGGATCGAGGTGTAACACCGGACCGAACGTTCTTCGACCGATAGGATAATTTATTTCTTCCGACATCTTGTCGGTGACAAATTTAATCTTTGCATACTTCAGCGTAGTTAATGAACTTGTTGTGACCACTGAAATATACAAAGAGTAAATTTTGAAATGGAACGAAAGTCGAAGATTTTTTTTTAATTTGCCGTTCTTTCAATTTTCGATTTTTCGTCGTTCCATTTTTAGATTTTTTGATTTTTCTGTTCGTCAGTTTTTAGACTTTGCAATTTTTTTACCTTTTTCGATTACATTTTACTTTCCGATTTTTTTGATTTTTGAATTCTCGATTTTACTTTTTTAATTCTTCGATTTCCGATTTTTCAATTTTCCGGTTTTTTAATTCTCCTATTCTCGATTTTTCGATTTTCCATTAATCATAAAATTTTTCAACTTTCGATTATTCGATTTTCCATTTTCTGATTTTACGATTTTTCGATCTTCGTTTTTCCGCTTTTGTGGTTTTTCGATTTTTCTGTTTGTTTCAGTTTTTATGGTTCTGCAATTTGCAGCTTTTAGATTTCAATTTTGTTATTTTCCGATTTTCCACTTTTCGATTTTTTGATTTTTTTTCGATCGTCGTTTTTTCGATTTTCATTTTTTTGATTTTTTGATTTTTCAATTTTTAGGCCTTGCAATTTTTTTACTTTTCGCTTTTTCGAGTATTTGTTTCATCGAATTTTCGATTTTTCGAGTTTTCGATTTTCGATTTTTCGGTTTTTCCATTTTTCGATTTTCCATGTTTAGATACTTTTCGATTTTTTTTTATTTTTCGATTGTTCTGTTCGTCAGTTTTGAGACTTTGCAATTTTTACTTTTCTACTTTTTTAGTTTCGGATTATTCGATTTTTGAATTTTCGTTTTTTTTTCATTTTTCGATTTTCCACTTGTTGATTTTACGATTTTTCAATTTTTCTGTTCGTCAGTTTTTAGGCTTTGCAATTTGTTTACTTTTCGATTTTTCGATTATTTTACTTTCCAGTTTTTTGATTTTTGAATTGTCGACTTTTAGAGTTTTCAATATTATGAATTTTCGAATTTTCGGTTTTCCTATTTTTCGATTCTCGGTTTTTCAATCTTGCAAATTTTCGATTTTTCAGATTTGTGAATTTCCAGTTTTTCGATCGACCCACGTATTAGATTCATTGAATTTTCTATTTTCGGTTTTTCGATTTTTAGATTTTTGATTTTCCATTTTGCATTTTCAGATTTTCTGTTTTTCGCATATCTGATTTACCAAATTTTCGATTTTTCGGCTTTTCGATTTTTCGATATTTTATTTTCGAATTTTCGATTGTTCAGTTTTCCATTTTTCAGCTTTTACACTTCAATTTTTTTACTTTTCGATTTTCCAAATTTTCGAGTTTCAATTTTCGGATTTTTGATTTTTCGATTTTCTTATTAAATCTTTGAATTTTTCGGTTTTGATTTTTCGAATTTTTGATTTTTAATTTTTCCATTCTTCGGTTTTTAGACTTCAATTTTCTTTCTTTTAAATTTTTCGATATTCTATTTTCCGCTTTTCAGAATTTTCGATTTTCAGTTTTCAGACTTTCGATAGTTAGAATTTTGGATTTTTCAGTTTTATGATTTTTCGATTTTTAGAAAATTTGAGTAGTCGAATTTTCGATTTTTCAATTCATCGATTTTTCTATGTTCAATTTTTCAATTTAAATTTTGCGATTTTCAATTTGTCCATTGTCGATTTTTAGAATTTTCGGTTTTTCAATTTTTCCATTCTCAACTGTTAGACTTCAATTTTGTTACTTTCCGATTTTTTGGTTTTCGACTTTCCAATTTTCAGAATTTTCAAGTTTCTTTATTCAGATTTTCCATTTTCCACTTTTTCGATTTTAGATTTTTCGAATTTTTGTTTTTCCAATTTTTTGCTTTTTCGATTTTTCTGTTCGTTTCAGTTTTTAGGCTTTGCAATTTTTTTTTACTTTATATATTTTGATTATTTTAATTTCCGATTTTTTTTATTTTTGTTTTTGATTTTTTTAATTTTCAATATTACAAATTTTTGACTTTTCGATTTTTTGGTTTTCCCGTTTTTCAATTTTCGATTTTTCGATTTTAGAGGTTTGTGAATTTCCACTTTTCGATCGACCTAGGTATTTGATTAATTGAATTTTCGATTTTTTGATTAGCCATTTTCGATTTTTACGATTTGTATTTTTCGATTTTCTGTTTTTTGCATTAGTGAATTTCAGTTTTTCCGATTTTTGATTTTGCGCATATTTGATTAATAAAACTTTCGAAAAAGTTACCATGCTTACAAAAACTTCAAAACATCTACAATATTTCAAAGTATTCAGTTTTGCTATTCTTGGTTTCTTCAATAAAATAAATTGACTCGGTCATTAACTTTTTTGAGACACCCTGTATAACCAAATCTAAAAAATATTAATGCAGTGATAAATCACAAGTATAAAACTCATCATATTTTATACATTGAAGATAGGATTTATTCTGCAAAATTTTGAGGTGACGTCATAAATTTTTTAGAGGGGATAAGCAAATATATTTTAATTAAAAATGTATCATGTTTATCATGATTTTAAAACATCTGCAAGGTTTCAAAGTATTCGATTTTGCAAATTCAAAATTAAATTGCAAAATATTGTTTTATAATTTTGATTTTTTTTCCAAAAATCTGGACGTTTTGGATAAAAACTCAACACGGAGTCATAAACTACATGTGTTACTGTATACAATTTAAAACCCATTTACTATGCATAAATTTGAAGTGACGTCATCACATTATTGGTGGGGATGATTAGACAAATTTAATAATTTTGCGACATTTATGAAAAAAATATCAGTTAACAAAAATGGCACGTTTTTATTATTATGCCAGTTACATGTCACTCAACGACAATATCGTTTTTTTTAAGAGTATTTTATTTGAAAAATTGATGAAATTTTTTATGCGGAACAATTGGTCGAAAGATGTTAGAAAGCAAAATAATTCATGTCCGGACCATCGTTACTCACGAACGAAAGTGACCATTATTTTATGGGAACAACTAGCTGCTAAATCTTCTCCGACAAATTCGAGAGAACTGGTGTGAGCCATAAATATTTCTTACCAAATGTATATATAACTACTGTCCGTCCCGTTATTGTCAATAAAATTTTATAGGGTAAAATGTGAATTTCGTTGTAGTTTGAGCCTACCTACAAATTCTGCCCTTGAAGGATTTGGACCGCCTTCTTCGGTGAGGGCAGGCAAAAACGATCCGCCCATAGGCTCAAAACATTTGCGTACGCCAATTAGAAACCTAAATTACAAAATATTTAAGAAAATGCTCACCCGTTGGAAGGAATATCACCAAAACGGACCTCCATATGCTTTTATCTTTTAGCTAGCAACAGACTGAAATAAGTACTAATAAATGACACAAATTTAAAATACCCCTACAAGAAAGGCAGCGTCGGACGGATTGTTTAGTAATCTTAGTTGTCGCACAATCATGATTGGCCCGGAATTACGTGCAATACATTCATCCATTGCACCCAAGACTCTGGAAATAGGCTTTAAAGTTTAGAACAATTAGTGTCGGAACCTACGGTTTCGATGTAAAATCTCCACCCGAGCAAGGAACACCTTCGACTACGGGGTTTTTGTGCCCACAGAAGTTTCCGCAGCTGTCGGTATCGTAATTCATGTATCTAAAATCCACGTTTACCAAGGTGTATACTACGAAAGGTATCTGCAACAAGTTCAGGTTTAACTATTTTGAGCCAAAATGTTAGTATCAGTAAGGAGCATCATTTTCTACCAGGTAATTTGTAATTTAAAAAAGGTTAACCAACTACCGAAGCTGGAGATCCCTAAATTCTCTTACCAAAATTAGTATGGAAATGCCAAAAATGACGAATCCCTTCTTATCCGTGACAATCCTGTTTTCCGGTCGTGCGGGCACTTCCACATTTTCGATGGACGTGTTCAGCTTCCTGAACTCGATGAGCTGAAACATTTGCTTGTTAATTTCATTATAAATTTTATTTGGTTAGATTAACGTGGATTTCAAAAACTACTGAAGATACAAATAGGACAGGATGTGCTTAGAAAGTTGTTAAGAATGTTATCCAAAATTAAAACAAAAAATAGCTGTAGTTTTGCATTAAAAAACGTTAGATGCTTTCTTCCAAACAATCGACTCTTGGCTACATTAGGTCAGTTCTTATCTCGCTATCTATCAGTTGTTATTCGGTTATCGTATTTTTAAATGGTAATAGCACTATTTTTCTTGAGTATGGTAATAGAGAAATTAGAACCACTTTCATATATAGTGTTCACGCATTTCAAATTTGTCTTCTAAAATGTAACCCAAAATAAATCTAAAAAATTATCAATTATCAATTAATCGAATCGTTATTTCCACAAAATTTACAAAAAATGTCTGTTGTTTCTGGAAACGCAGATTAACATGTTTTCAATATTTTTTCAAAGAATTGTGACAGAACTTCCTCTATCATAGTTTTTTCTACTCTAGCAATAAATCAAAAAACCATTTGAAAAACGATGTGTCCAAAGTCGCTGTCTTGTATTTTAAAATTAGTAAGTAATCGAAAACGCTCACAACTTGGCACTAATAAAACTTACACACTACAACGAATTATGTAATCAAAAAAAAAAAAACTAACCTCGTCTGGTTTCATAATACTGGGCGAAGATCCCATGTTGCCGCCTTCCCATACAATATACGCACAAGTATTACTTCCAGCACAGATAAAAACACAAAACCAGAAACAAACACGACGTCTAAATACAAAGAAACTAATACCAAAAATTCTCGCAGAACACAATAAAAGGCGAAAAATGAGTAAAGTAATAAAGTGTCCTTACAACCTGGAGCGCGCTCTGCAAGTTTCAAAAGTATTGAAAGCAAGTTCGTGTCAATTATATACGGAGCTGAAATATTTCTCAGATTTGAATGAATGACAACATCAATTTATCGTATGAGGTCACATATTTTTATTATTACTAGAATTGTTGATAAAGGTTTGTTTTTCCTTCTTGAATGTGGGTTAGCAAACTAAATGTAGGATTCCTGTTTCCGTGTGTCTGTAACCGTTTGTTGGTGTACCTACCTTAAAAACAGTACAATTTTTGAAATATTTGCTTATTTAAATACACCTTAAGAAGAACAGGACAAAATCCTTGAATTTTAAACGTTTTCAAAAATGAATTTGTTTGGCGGAAATCGAAGTCACCTTTGGAAACACAGGCGAGATTCTATAAAATTTGATTTTTAAAAACAGGGTAAAACCCTTAAAAAAGTATTGCGTCCTAATTCTTTCAATATTAGATTCCAGAGTAGGTAAACATTTTGGTAAAGAAATTGGCAAATATATCAGCAATATGCTTCTCATAAAGAAGTCTGTTCTCTTTGATCACAGTTGAAAGATGGTTAGAAAAAGTTCTGTGTGAACATTTTTACTCGTTTCGGTTCCTGTTCATTTAAAGCTCGCCAGAGTGCTCTATTTTTGGGGACTAGGTTTAAAATTCTCCCGTTAATTCACTGTTTTGATGAAGATCTTTTAAACGTGGAAATAGTGGTGTACTGTGTGACACCCATTAATATCTTTTGTACATGATCTTTTTTACTGATATGTATTGTCAATTAAATTTTTAGTTGTAGCGCTGAAGTGGGAGTTAGACTTTCATAATCATAAGGGTTGCTAGGTCCATTTTTTTTAGTCTACGATCATCATCACCAGGAGGACATCCAGTAAGATCCAGCTAGCAATTGGAAATTCTGGAATCAAATAGAACATTTTTAGTAGAACAATATCACGTACCTATTGCTGCTACATAATCCATTAACACAAGATCATGGAGAACGGTAAAAACTATTGCTTGATCCTGCTTATCGTTTGGCAACAAAAACGATGCAGATAATGGACAGCACTGATGTGAAACACAGCGGTTGAGAACAGTTTTATGAAGGGAAGGATTTAAGAACTGGAATCGAGGGATAGGAAGACGTACGCTGGAGTTGTCGGAGGTGCTAAACCTAGGCGGGATAGTAAGGAAGTGCCAAGAAGGAAGGAAACGTATTCTGTTATGGTAAAGTCTAAGGATATTAAGGAAGACGGGGATAAGATTAGAGAGAAAGTTAATAAAATGGATGTAGACGTGAGAGTGGAAAATGTGAGAAGGAACAGAAGTGGTAGGTTAATAATTGGACCCAGCAAGAAAAGTTTTAAAAAGTCGAGTTGCGAAAGCACGAAAAAATGGCCGTTGACTTGTAAACGAGAGAGGAATTTGGACGGAAACGAGTGGTGCAGGTTCGAGTACCAAGACTTGCTCAGACATTATAAAAATGCCTTCAAGGAGGAAAAAGTCTTATGGTGGAGGAATTTTGTCCGGTTTGTTGGAAATGGAGATCCGTGGGGTGCAGTTTATAAGCTCTGCAGGAATGAGAAGAACGAAGGACTGGTAGGCGCATGGGACGGTGATAGGAAAACGGAAACGTGGGGAGATACGGTGGAAATATTGTTGAGAGAGTTTTTTCCAGTTGACGTTCCGGTGAACAATGAATTTTATGAAGGGGTGGAGGGTGTCGTGGTGAGAGTGAATTATGAATATGATGAGGTGGAAAAGAACGTGGGGAGTTTGAGGAAGAAGAGATCACCGGAAATAGATGGTGCGACGCCTGAAATAATGGCGCTTGTGTGGAAGACTGTTCAGAGTATGTATTGAAAGTGTTTAACGCATGTGTGGGGGAAGAATGGGTTCCGGAAGAATGGAAGGTAACACGACTGATCATCCTCTTGAAGGGCATGGATAAGAATAGGTCATTATGGGGGTCGTATAGACCGATCTGCCTTTTGAATGTGATGGGAAAAGTGTTTGAGAGGGTACTGGTGGGGAGATTGGAGAGGGTACTTGAAAGAAGAAGGTCGAGGGCTCAGTTCGGATTCGTGAAAAAGTTAAGAGTTATTTTAGAGATCGGAAAGTGTGTCTGGTAGGAGGGGCAAATGAGGTGGAAAGGAAGGTGTGTAGAAGATGTCCACAAGGATCTATCTGTGGACCGGCGGTTTGGAACATGATGATGGATGGGTTGTTGGAAGAGATTGGAAGAAGAAGGATATCGTGTGAGGCATATGCAGATGATCTGTTGTGTATGATTGAAGCGGATAACAGAAAGGAGATTGAGGATATGGGAACGGAAGTGATGGAAATGGTGGTTGCTTGGGGGAAGGGAGTGGGTGTCGAGATGTCCAGGGAGAACACGGTTATAATGCTTCTGAAGGGATCGTTGTCTGACTCGAGACCGCCAAATGTGAGGGTTCAGGATCAGTGTGTGAAGTATACGAAAAAGGTGAAGTATCTGGATATATCTGGATATAAGAGTTAGTGAGCTTATGAATTTAGGCCGCAGGTCGAGAGTCTGAGAGGTAAGGTGATAGGAGTGATAAGGAAATTATCGTGTATTGAGGAAAGAATAGGGTCTGGATAAACGAACGGTACGAATGATGTGTAAAGGATTGATAGTTGCGTGTGCTTCGTTTGGTGTGATGTGTTGAGGTTTGGATATGCGAGGGAGTTGGTGAAGAGGTGTCACATGAGCGTGTTGTATGGGTGCATGGTGTTTTGTAACACATAAATAAAGCAAGTGTTGATGGGAGAGGAAAAGGGGAGTGCGTCTAGGAGAATTAGAATAGCTGCAGATTAAGTTAGAAGAGGGAGAGAAAAAGGGTGTGTTGGCTGCGAAACTGTGGGAGATCTGGCAAAGAAGATGGGATATGAACGAGAAGGGTAGAATGGCTCATGATGTTGTTCCGAGTGTGAAGTTTGCGCCAGGAATGTTTGGGTTGTTTTTGTTTACGGGGCATGGGAGTATGAATGAGTTTTTAAAAAAAAGAGGACTGAGTGATACGGATCTGTGTGGTTACGGTTGGGTAGAGAATGTTTCGCATATTGTTTGCGAATGTGGATTGTATGATGAAGAAAGAAGGAGTTGAATGGTCGATATTGAAGAAATTTATGAAAATTTCGATGGTATGTAGTTATTGACCACGTTCGTTATTATGGGGCTATGGTTGACTCTGTCTGTTTTAAGTGAATTTTGCTAGAAGTTTATTTCGTTACTACTCAAAGGAAATTTCTACGTAAAATACTCTGCGCGAGGTCAATATTTATAATTGTTGCTGAAATTTTCGTTCACGTTGTGGTATAATATCTAGAGAGCGGATTTATAAGCACAAAAAAATTAAGAATAAGCGCTTAAATAAGCACAACATTTTCAATAAAAAAGTCTTATTTTAAGCAAAAAACATTATTGAGTTCTAATAATTCAAACACTCCGGATAACTCTTATGATTTTGAAGTTGTAGTTCAAGAAGTATCTGAACGGGAAAAGCGGAAAAATGATATTATATTTTATGGTATTTCCGAACAAGATTCCTCCCTAGATAGTAAAAATCGTAGAGAAAAGGACTCTGAATTTCTATCTGATTTTCTACAATTTGTTAACGCCAATCCAAACGACTATATGACTCCAGAATCACAGATTCTTCTTCCATCTCGTCTTGGCAAATTTGAAGCAAATCCTAATAAGTCGCGTCCTATTAAAATAACACTCAATAACAATCAACAAGTACGTAACCTACTGAGTCTGATAAAAAAAAATCGTCCAAATATTGAAGGTAACCCTCGCTTTAAATCTATTCGAGTTTCATTGGATCGCACAAGTCGACAACGTCACTATCATAATGAATTAAAGGACCAAATTAAACAAAGACTGGAGAACGGAGAAGAAAATCTTTTTATAAAATATGTTCGTGGTATACCTACCATTCAAAAATCTTTAAACTAACCTCGCCCAAATGCCATAAACGTAATTTAAATATTTATTATCAAAACGTTAGGGGACTTCGAACAAAAACGCTTAATTTCTTTAACAATCTTTCTATTTCTGCTGACAATTATGACATAATTGGATTGACCGAAACCTGGATGACTGAGGATTTTGCTAATTCGGAACTTTTTCCTACTTCTTTCCATGTGTTGAGATGTGATCGTAATTTATCAATTATCGGTGGTACTAGAGGTGGTGGTGCACTATTAGCATTCAGTAATGCGTTATCCTATGAAAAGTTAGATCTACATTGTATCACTGAGTGTGTTCCACCAATTGATATTGTTGGTGCCAAAATTTCATATTCGCCTAATACTAAATTAATAATACTTGTTGCTTACATACCTCCAGCCACTGAATTTGCTTCATATGAACTCTTTTTTGAATTACTGTCACTTCTTCCATTTATATATGATAATCATGTTATACTGTTAGGAGATTTCAATGTTCCTGAATATAATACTGACCATCAAAATGACAAACGCGCCATGTTAATTAAAAACTATGAAAACTTTTTAATTTCACACAATATAATTATGTAACTAATTCCATCGGTCGGGTTCTAGATCTTGTCTTATCTAATATTGATAAATGCTCAGTCACTAAGGAATTTCCGCTTATAAAAGAAGACAATTATCATCCATCATTGTCTGTACAATTAACTATTCAAGCAGATAAAAAACTTCCAAAGTAATGCAATTTATAAAAAATACAACTTCAAAAAAGCCAACTTTCCTCGATTATACGAACTTTTGATACAAACTGATTGCACCGTTTTAAACAAATTCTCTGAGATAAACGCAGCATGTCAAGCCTTCTATGATGCCTTATATAAAATATTAGATCAAACTGTTCCTGTAGTTAAATATAATAAATCTTCATTCAAATATCCTCCTTGGTTTAGCGTTGACTTGATTAAAAATATACGTAAAAAAGATAGGCTACATAAAAGGTTTAAGAAAACCGGCGATCATACTGACTATATAAATTTTAG